TTGTTTCTAAAACGAGTGGAATTTTCTCTATTTGTGTCTTGTGAAAGCGTTGTTAAGTCAGTTTTGTTATTTAAAGCAAGTATTACTTATTTGAAATGCTTTCAGTGAATAATATTAATAATAAGTTTATTTATACTACACGGTTAAATTTCAATACTATAATGTGAAGATAATGAATACTTTGTAAAAGAAATTAGAAACTTTTTAGAAAAGTTTTGTTTATTATTAGTAGTAATAATTATTGTTAAAAATCGATTACAAGGATTTCAAACAATTTCAAAGGCGGTTCAAACACCAATTAACTAGTATAAACCATACCGAATAAATTCTTGGTATTAATAATCATAAAACTAATTTTTGATTTTCGATTTTTCATTATCAAAAAAAGAAATTGGAGAAACCAGTAAAACTTACTCAATATCCGTAATGTTACTGTCCTTGAAATTTTTATTTCAATATTATTGTAATTATACATCTCCAATTAATAGTATAATTCATATAACTGTATTTTTACTATATATGTTATGTTAAAGAACAGTTAATGTTGTAGAGAATATAATTAAAATACAGAATTTAAATTGTAGAAACGATTTTTGTGCTAATTATAGCAGTTTTATAGATATGTAATTAGAAATATTTAAAATCGTAGGTAGTGTATGATGGGGCTAGTTGAGCATAGGGGCAAGTTGGGCAATCAAAATATCTCGCAAACTATTAACCGTAAGCATGGGTATCGTATGGCGAAAAAAAGGGGTTGCGGGAGGGGTAATCACCGTGTGATAGCTAGCGGCTCGATGAGCGAGTAAACCCCCCATGCGTTTTGTTTATTTTATGACCAAAAAGTAAAAATGTTGTTTATCACAAATTTTCGTCTGTATTATTCAAATGTTCTCTGCTTTTAATTGTACTTTTGATATGTACTGTGGTTCTGGGTATAATTCTTACGAATTTTTTATAACCTCACTTTTGTTTTAAAATTCTGCCTACTTACCCCACGACTCAAACAACTAAACTAATGAATGTTTTATTTTTTGTTAGGATGCGGTCGTACAAGAGGAAGACTAAAAGATGCTCTTACACTACTAATATAAATATTAAAATCTGATTTTTAACAGAAAGGCTGAATCTAATTCTGAAGTTAATCTTAAAATACATTAATGTTTTGTAGATTCTAGTTTCGGTTAATTATTCAAAGAAAACTACTGTAAGTTTTATTATGTTATGTCACTAAAAGACTATAAATAAAGAGCTGATTGTCAAACACATATTTTACTTCATCTCTAGTCAACATTTAACCCATGGTTTGGCTGGACATTCTTAGTGTTCAACTTGCCCCATACCCTTGCTTAACTTACGTCACCTATGGGGTACATTGAGCGTACTTAACTTTCTGGATTTAAACAAATGTAGCTCTTAAATTCGACTTGTCACAAAAAAATTACTATGGACACTTTTGCAAAGGGATAAATTAGTAATCCATCAGACTGCATAATAACTCATTGAGACTTATCATTGTGGAGCTATATCCGCTCAAGTGGAAAATTGTTCAACAAGTCCCACCCTGCCCTATAATTATCCCCTTATATGCATGGTGGATAGTTTTATTAAAAATGTATTATAAAAATAATAGTCAAGAAACACTAAAAAAAAGTTGGAGGATTTTAAAAAACGGTAAAGTGGTGCAACCAGTCACAATGGTCATCATTAAACGGAACATAAAGCAATTAATGTACTTAACAAAAATTAGATTAACTGTGTCATTGATTTCCTCACAAAAAAAATATTCCATCCGAAAGTAAGCCTTAAGTGAACTCATTGAAACAAAACAAGTGTAAAATCGTTTCCTCGTTTTCCTTCAGAATGCTGTTTATTTAATATCAAGCAATAGACATATTACAAGCACATTGATTGTTAATTTCAGGACATAGAGAATAAACCAACAAAACCGCAAAAGATACGGTACGGAAAATCCGTTAAATACGAATTTTATACAATGTGATGGCTGGCTAAGTCGTTGTTCAAGACAGTTTTACAGATGTAATACAATTCTAACGTTAAACTATAATTTTATGGGTATTAATTCTATTTATTAGGGATAAATGCCTCGAAATGTGTATCAGGTATACAACTGGATAAGCATTGCTAAAATTTCATTAATTAACTGCAGTATGTTTACATGTACAAACAACAAATCTAAAAATGTTTCTCTAATCACAATAACATCGCCCAGGATTTGTTCGCGCTTGATCGAAACCTGTAAGGTAGTTTCCCTGAACCTAGAATCTTCAAATGGGGAAAGGCATGTACTAGAAATAAGGGAAAATTAGAAAATTGTACTTTTGCTTCAGGGTGGAATTATTGCATTCTCCCATGTAGGAAGTCACGACAGGATTAAGTTTGGTCCAAGATTGACTCAAGATTTTTCAATATTGGATCAAGCTTGGCAAGCATAATCCTCTATAGGGCAACCAATGCTATTACCAATGATTAACATATATTACACTTGTTTTTAATGTTTAAAGCGTTCTGCGATGTTAATATTTTGGAAAATTATTGATTTTCATGACACCAACACCTACTGATAAAGTTGAATTATGAAACTTAAAAAATTATTTCAATAAAATATTCTAGTAATTTTGTGTGTTGATTGTAAATAATGAACACAATAATTAACTTTATAAAATTTATTTTCGCCCAGTATTGGACATAGTTCGGCAAAACGTTAATGTACTGAATCTTAGTGTTTGAAGATTGGCCAAACGTTGGTCCAGTATTAACAAACCTGTACTTGACTGTCCAAAGTACTGTACCAAATTTGAAGATACGTTACTCTTACGAACCCTGACACCCTGAATATTGGTCCAGTATCGACAAGTCAATGTTTGGTTTCCCATTACTTGTCCAAGTTTGGACCAGCCGTCAAATCCTGTATTTCCTATATGGGCTAAACTTATGTTTTTGAGAGATGGGATGATAGCACACCTTCTGAGGATTATTTAAAGATATACTACAAGTAGAAACAGATGTAGAGGATCTGTGGATTAAAATATAGAAATATAGCTCCAAGTAGTTAGGAACGTGGATGTTCTAGTTTTAGGAAAACGAGAAATGGTTCAAGCTATAGAAAGGAGTCGGACTAACGACCCTATGACGATGATGACACGGTATTACGTTTTCCATTCATGACAAGCAAGTATGGCAAAATTTGATAGTAATTATAAATTAATGGTTTATTAAACTTTGCGGGTTCCGCTAGTCCTAATATCTCGTCCTTGTTGAAAAGTTCTTAAGTTATAAACGATAATGTATCTTTTGTGAAACATCTTACATGATACAAACTTTTATGTTGTTTTATGAAATTGTTATTTAGAAAACCCGACAATACTTTTCCGATCGACAATGATCATTTCCAGCAATAACTTACAATAAAAAAAACGTTTTCATAAAACTCGCTGTATATCGTACGACTAACCCTTGTTCGCGATAGTGAAAACTACATAAACTTTAAGCAAAAAGAGAAATAATGAATTCAGTTATATATACACTGGTTGTGTATATTTCTTTCATATTGACTACTCATTTATTATAATTTTAATAGTGTGTAGATTTGAATTTAATGTTGCTATTAAGTCAGCACCGTTTTATAAATAGATGATCAGAAATAAGAAAAATATTCAGTTTATATCGGTATAATTAAAATAGTTTTCCATTTTTAAAATTTGTTCTTAATTTATCTTATAAGTGTTTAACAGGATCCGATTTTATGTATCATTATCGGAGTTAAACATGTACGTAAAATTAATTGGAGGTCTTTTCATAGTTACAAAGAACAAGGAGAGAAAAAATTTTATTTATTAAAACTTATGTACGTAAGCATTTTCTAATCAAAACTCGTTTCCTTTTCATTTTATTTTTTTTAATAATTACAGCTGTACATTTGAAATTACTAAAGAATTGGATTTTGCGTCTTCAAATCATTTTATTAACAAATTTTATTAGAATATTATAAACCTTTTCAATTACATTTTTATGATGAAATATCAAACAGTTACTCATCGTTGATTAATTTTTATGGGTACCTATTTCAAAATCAACAAAACGAGAATTAGTCCAACTCTTTAACTCGGTGGAATTAATATTGCTGTTTGGGCAACGCAGAAATTTAAAGTTTTTGGTCGGTGTTCGAATATAATTATGACGTACGGTGCTAATTTCTATTTATTTCACAATTGGACATTAATTTAATGTAAATGAACTTTCACGAATTGATCGTAGACACGCTTTAGTTGTGTGACTGTAGTTCTGGCTATTGGCTTGTTGATTAAAATTTTACCTTACTACAACTACTGTATGCCAAAGATAATAAGTGACATTCAAAAACCCATAATTAAGTTTTGTAATACTTGTAATATTTTCTTTTGCGATATATCTTTTAATTTTTATGTTAGAAATAAGCAATACTAATTGAAAAGCGAAACAACAATAGCTGTAATGTCACATTTTGAGCTTAATCTAGCTATATCTCAGCTTTCCAGTTGATTTGCATCAAATTAAGTAGAAAGAATGGCTAAATATACGTCTACTCTCTTGGAAGCTACTTTCTGAAAACTTTTCTGAACATGGAAAGATAAAGTTGTGTAGTATATTGGACACATGCCTATTAGGTTTATACCAATAATTTGTATCGCAAATATTTTCTAGAAGGTTAGAGCTACACTAGGCATTATATAATAGCGCAAAATAGAACACTTTATGTACATTTACTTTATTATTAATAATAAGTGCAAGTTGTTGTAGTAGCTTCACATTCGATGTATGTCCCACTTTTTAAACGGAATCTAGGAACTGTATTCGTATGTCTATCCCAAGCGAATTCTAATGCAACGACTAAATCTCACTTTCAACAAACAATAACTAATTATTGTATGTATAATTAATTAAATGTTTATTTATCAATAGATGAATCTGTAATCGACATGATTCTATATTGTAAAACGCACCTGTAACAAATCGGTCGTCATCTATATTCATTATCCTCATCACCAGCACGTATGTTTGTTATCAATTGCACTGAGTTCAATTAAGCACATCGCGCGCGTACTTTTGGTGAAACGGAATTTCTTTCGCGGTTAGAGCGCCCAATGTTACCTCTATCTCTGCTCGTGTAACTACTTCTTAGCGTAAGCCGTTTGTGTGCCAAACTGAAGACATGAAAGTGCAGCACGACCTGGTGATCGGAAAAAGTCGGAGTAACCGAGGACCCCAATCACTATCCTTCAAGACTTTTAAATATCTGCAATTGTTGCAAATCCAATAGACGATATTGTTCAAAAATCTGCCATTAAAAAATACCAACAGACACTAGGAAGAATTTCAAGCGTTAATTAGTGTAAGATTCAGTATCAAAAAATGTAACTGTAATTTCGTTTTCTTTGGAAATTGAATTTATAACATCGAAAAATGTTTACTTTTTGTTTGGGCAGATTACTGGTATTTTGGCCAGAAAATAATTATCAATAATCAATATACAGAGATATTAAAAGTAAGCTTCATGATTATATGGTAAGACAGCGGTCTACCCCCGTCCTTGAAAAAAGTTTCGCCTTTCAGCTGCAGGGGTTGGTTTCAAAGATATAGGAGTTAATATAATATCGCCGCAAAAAGGATTTCATACATAGAATCAGTAAAGCTGCTCAATGAGTTCCAATGTCTAGGCAGAACGTTACAGAATGTTACAGATTTTTCCTGAATACCCTACATCTGCAGGATTCGAGAATGTTTTAGAATTTTCTAGAACGTTTGAGAACTTTCCCCAATGATAACTGACGATAAAGCGAAGTAAGGGTAAATAAAAATAAAATGGATCCAAACTAGAAGTTATTGATTTTTGATGTTTAAAGAGTCAAGTAACTCAGGATGGAAAAGCACTAGATATATAAAAAAAGGAATAGCGTACAGGGCCGGGTTTTGTGCTTGATGTTTGTTAATTCTGAAAGATTGTTAAAGGTGTATGTTTTGCGTACGGTTTTGTATGGGTATCCACTGCTTGAAAAAAAAAACCTTTGGTAGGTGGTGATATAGGAGGATGTTAAAAGTACCGTGAATAGAAAAGGTTATAAATGAGGAGGAGCAGGAGAAGAAAGAGGAGGAGCAGTAGAAGAAGGAGGAGGAGCAGTAGAAGAAGGAGAAGGAGGAGGAGGAGAAGGAGGAGGAGGTACCTATTAGAAAAAATATGAGAAAAGAAAGCATAGAAATCAATAAGAAACAAGCGAGATACCATATATAAGTTGGTAGGACACTTTTAGAGATATGAAAGACCAGTTACAGACAGAGAAACAAAAACAGGAGTTACGAAAGGTAGATGGACCTTTGCTAGATTCGTGTTTGCAAATATTTAAAGATGTAGGTTACTGGAATTTTGGACAAATACGAAGATTGGCTTAAGATAAGAAGATGTGGGGGTGCATATCAATAATAAATATATACAATCTTCTGGCTGAAGTCCTTATAATTATGGTGAATTATCTCTTATATAATCATTGTCCTGATTGTTTCAAAAAGATAACAATCTGAATTTATTTTACATTTTCACAAAACGAACGATAAAAGATAATACTTTCTTTTGTAAAAAATTTTTCATTTAAACTTTCAGTCACTAAAATAGCAGTAATATCATACATACGTTTAAAATAAGTTAGTTTTTTTGATTGGATATTATTAATAAATAATTTTATCCAGTAAGTGTCCTCTTTAAATACTTATTAATTACCTAAGGCTGATCGAATTAGTGTAACAAGTAACTGTTAATTTTTAAAATATTTCCTTTACTGTTAATCTGCATTTCTGTGACACTTTTAATAAATTATTTATGGGCTATAACTAGAGTACTTATAAGATCCATATCGGCATATAGTAAAAAACCTGAAGAAATGTTTACCGTTACAATCAATTATGCAGTAATTAATTATTATAGGTAAGTACATCTAACGTTGAAATCAATTATCAATGGAGGCTTAAAGTTCGGATGTTCTTTATTACCTTTCGATTCACTTAATGGTTCCAATTGAATTGGAAAGGTAACTAAGCTGTTGCATCATTTCAAGATGTTATCACTTAATGAGTCGTGCATCAAAGTATGTAGAACTTTTTCGATCATCCAGCATACATAAAACGTATCTAATTTTTTTCCTTTAACTATCAATTACAGTTTTCTTCATTATTGCTTTTTTATTTTTACCTCTTCACTATTATAAAAGTGATAATAAATTCCTTATTCTTTAAACTCAGGCAACACGAGTGATTGATTTATATCCATTCATAGGTTACAACTAAAAAACAAATTGTAAATAATATGTACATGTATCATGTATCATATATTATAAATGATGTCATTAAGTAAATAAATATAGTTAATAAGTTACTTCAAGTCACGCTAAGTTTACTTTTTTTTTTAATGGAGTTGGTGTCGTTCATAATAAAAAAAGGACAAACCAAAAATTAGCCCTACTGACTCATGTTCTTTCTCTCGGCAAGAAATACTTTTAATTCTATTAGATAGAGTCGTTCTGAAGAATTATTATCCATGGTGTATACTAACGATCTGCAATTCTTCTGGATCGTCTTCGAACACTTTGGTATTCAGCTTTTTCAGACAATGAAGATGCTATATGAGAGCGAAACGTCGCAGTGGTCAATAATATCTCAAACTTTTTTCGCGCAAGCTTAAACCAAGCTATCTTTATAGGTACGAGAGTACATTTTTAGGTCAGCGGAATGGGAGGGTAGATTTATTAATAGGGGTAGTTGTTAGGAGATAACGAGTTAATTGACTCATTATGGTAGTATAAATACCAAGATTTATCGGAATCCGGTCATAAATCTTTGAACTATTGCCATTCAATCAACTCAATCGAGAAGAAAGTATGAAATATGGAGAAAATCGAGTACCGCAGTTTTATAGTTTCTTACCAAGTAAGAAAAATTTGTCCAAATCATACTAGAAGAGATGAAATTGGTACTCTTGCCTAGATAAAACCATAGTTTATTAGTAAATACAGTCTCATTAAACTCACTTGAAGGCGACCCACCGCCAGGACGACCAACCGATGTGGCCACACCGAAAGAAAACAATATGAAGAAAGTTTTTCATTTATGTTAACGTAGGGTCTTACTTAAAAGAAGAAAACTTTGCTTAAACTATTGTACTTTCTAAAATTAATTTCATGCAATATTGTATATATTACCAGGCAGATATATGTAACAGGCAATGAAGGTAGCTGAAGGACACCACTTAACGACTATTTAATCATTACAATTTTTGCAATTAAAAACGTGTTGGTACCACATTGCGAAGCCTAAATTTTGTCGTTACCGTCAAACCACACGATTCAAAGATTACTTCTCCTTAGTATAACACTAAAAGGTATTAAAAATATAAATAGCTTTCATTCAATTTCATATATATTGTTGTGGAAGTCGTAATATTTTAGCAAAGACCTTCATTCTTAAAGAAAAATTAATACAACTAGCTAGATCGTATTATTTATTACACATTTTGAAGCGATGTAATCGGATCGACTTTTAGCTTGCATCCACCGAACCTATTTATTCAACTTCAAAAAACAATAAACAGAAATACGTTGTATGGAGTCATATAATCAAGTAATTAACTACAATTAAGTTATATTCATAGAATTTTTTTTATAAATTATCCCAAGATACTCATTAGCGTATTTAGAACGTAGAAGTAGCTCGATCGGACTGAAAAAGACTGATTAATGTTCAAATATTGACTGCTTTCTAATCTTCCAAAAAACAATTTTTTTTATAAATAAAAGTAACATTTTACGTATCTCATATTTATTTTTTAGTTTACTTCAATGTACTTATTATTGTAATTATATACCTTCACGTACTGTCTGCAGTACGAATTAAAATTTCTCTTCTTTTTTGGATATAAAATGCGCTGATGTATATCTAGAAAATAACATTGTTCTTTTCTTCTCAAAAATATTGACGTGGTTACATATATACATTACTTTTATGGCTAATAAAAATCATCGATCGTTTGAAGCATTTTCCAGTCACTTTGTAAGTGTTATGAGCATTGTTGTGCACACCATATTAAAGTTTGTTTTCTTATAGTTGTTGAGTTTCTTTATCCTACGCAAACAATTTGGAAGTTTTTGCAATACATTCCAGAGCATATAATAAGACTTATAAGTAACCGTAGGCCTAAGCTTTCGTTACTGACGTAATTTCAAGGAGACACATTCAAAGTATTTAATGTTGTTCACGATTATTCTCGTGTACAACCACTTGTGGCCGTTTTATTCTGTCCTTATCCAGAATTGACTCCTACTACTTACTATTACTACGATATGTACTTAAATTGTCGGAAAAGGAATGTCGTTTTGCTCTAGATTCACTTTTCTCAGGCGCACTTACTGCTTTTATTCGAGATTGTGTATGGTTACCTCACACTGCCTCTCACTGGTAAAAGCAAAGCGAGCAGACGAGAGACGGTGCAGATTTATTACGTGTTTTTAACGGTGAAATTGTTAAACGTAAACACAATAGACGTCAGCCATGTTTAGATCTCATTTTAGCACTTATATAATTGCGTTACTTTTGAGAAATAAACCGACATGTGATTTATGTTAATTGGCTTGTGCTTTTTGGCACTGCAATCTCTTTCGAGTTGGCAATTTCTAGTCCGTCCAGAGTCGACTTTTGTTAGCTCAGTGGGTGTTACTTTACTCTTGAAGAAAGTTTCTGATGTAACCATCGAATCCTTACTTTGGCAACATCCTCATAAAATTACATCCTTCTTTGTTCATGCTATTAGTAATATGAATGGATTCCCGTATGCCATTGGTATGCTGATATATTGAACATAAAAGAAGTCTAATGTGATCATTAATAATAAAATTTAACTTGAACGTACTGAAATGAAAGGCTTTAGTTTCAAGATTAATTATGCATATTGAATTATGTAACTATAATTATCCTAAATCAAGGTACATACGTTAATAGGAGTCTCTTACCACACTACATATTTTAGAAGAAGAAAATGGTAGATGAAAGCAAATTCTACTTCCTTTCAAAGGATTTTGCAGCATAATTTCTTGCAAGATTAAAAGCATTTTCGCAGTACGATATAATACGTAGGCATTGCTCATATTTTTTAAAATATCAAATTGAAACCACCGCTAGAGTTTTTGTTTTATGTTTAAATAAACTTCTGGAAATCCTGAGTCTATAAATAATTTTAGTTAAAACAAAGGAAAAACATTTGATTTTGGTGTAGTTTCCGAAATAACTTTGAAGATAACTCACATAAAATTAAATAAGTGGAAAACCTTGGGAAATTGAAAATCCTCGTTTATGTGTAAGAGACATTAGATGTTCTAATAGCCTCAAAAGACAATTAGTTTACGGTGATTTTCGTGATAAGGTTTCCATACTTTGACATTACTTTAAATAAAGATATCGCAGATTTGAGTTTTGTTGTACGTTTTTCTGTTGATGGTCTTCGTTAAAACTTGCTTGCTTTCCAATTTTATTTTAATTGAAACATCGTAGACTTGTGCCCAAAAAGCAAGAATTCTTGCTCCTTGCTAGTTCCATGACAAGAAACCTTGCTCTTGTTCTTGCATCAAGAATATTGCAAGAACAAGAAGAAATAAGTGAAACACTAGAACCTACGATTTGTAGGACGTTTCCAAATTCTACCTTCAGAATTGCTTTGATATGGCAGAATTTTGAGATAGCCTATGTTGAAAATTAAAAAAAAACAACCTTTATTTTATTTATTGAGGATATTGCCACGTGTAAACTAAAAGGAGAAAACAACCAACATAATAGTAGTTACTAAAATATCTATTGTCCCCGAATTCAGAGTTGCCCTTCGAAGCGACGCGGCATACCTATATTTTGAAACTTCGTATCTTCAAAATATGGTGCGGTAGCTTATGTATGTACATTTCATGCATAACCATTTTAGGCAGTTCACCAAGTTTTTCTCCTATCATTCATCAAGCCATTTTGGTGTTTATTAATATTATTAAAGAGAAAGACTGGTATCGTATAAAGTGATTGTGTTGTTTTGACTTCTAGTTTTTCTAGACCCCGGATCCCCAATTATTGACAATATATGTTTTAAGTGTCATCGTCAAGTATGAACAGATGTAGCTTATAGGCATAATAAGTTTGTGTAAATACCATAATTTATAAATTTAAACGCTAATGCATTAGGAATTGTCTTAGAAATATACCTATATAGATATATATTTTCTTACTTAAGGAAACTGATACGTAGCAAAATGTTGATGCAAACAATGAAAATCTGAAAATATTAGTAAGATGATACCGCATTAGAATAATTAAAAGTGATATTTATACATACCTATAGCTTTCGATTTTCTTTAAATCTTTCACTTATTTTTTTATTACTTTCGAAAATAAGACGCACACTATAAAGTTGTAATGTAGGTACTTACTGTCTATATATGTATTTTGTACAGATCCAAAATCAGTGTAAATAATAGTTATTGCAGGTGTATATATATAGTCAACTCACCAATGTGTCGCTTTTTGGCCTTTTATGATATAGGTAGACACACAATCCATACCACTGTAATTCTTCTCCTTAGAGCACACACGATTAAACTACAAAGTTTTTGCAATTGCAAGTTCTTATGATGACTATTCACTAAATCAGTAACAAAAGACAAAAATACTGTATTCATTTTTTATAAATTCAATTTTTCATTTACAGTCGGAGTCAATTTAAACATTATGATATTTAGAACGTCTTTTAATGTACCCACGATTCACACTACGAAACAACTGACTGATTCCATAAATTCCAAGCAAAAAAAGCAGATAGAGACAAATAGAATAAACAAGTTCATATTCTTATATATGTAAAAGCGCTGTTATGAAAGCATCTGTGTGTTTTATATCAAAGTTAGACAGAACGAGTAAAAAAGCTCGAGCTGATAAGGAGATGCGATAGAATAAGCATTTGTATATTGCTTTTACATATACAAGGTCGTAGATAAGGAGCGTTGTTCGATTTTAAAGATGATAATAATAATAATTAATATCTAATAAAATTGATGACATTTTAGTTGAATGCTTAAAAATAATTACAGAGCGTTTTTGTGATAAACAAATAACTACTTAATAGCGTATGTAATTCTACAATTAGTCTTTCCAACATGAACTAAGTTTTAGTTTATTCATATTCGTCAAATTATTTGTTATATTTAAAGCGGATTTATTTAATAAGTTCGTTATTTTATTAATTATTTATTAATTATACGAAAATAATTTAACTGCATATTACATCTAGTTTCAAGAGGTAGTTTCATTGTAAAATTACATTTATTGTATGTTACAAGTCTCTGATTTTTGAGGGTCCAAATGTATCTTTTTTTTTTGACACGGCTGTGACCTATGTAGGTACCATTTGTATTTATTAGGTTTTACCTCTGCAGTAATATTTCAAGATGAAGCAAAAATGACAACTGAAAATGGAACACGAAGTTATTTGAGTTTTTTATTAGCTCTTCGTTTCCGTTGTTCTTCTGTACGAAGTAGTCTAGGTAGTTATACATTTTTACTTCTTCAATTTCTTTTTCTTCCCATGTTAATATTATCTTTTTCGTTCTTCCACCGCATTTTCTGCCTCTCATTATCTTCGATTTATCCGTGTTTATCTCTTGGCCTCATTCTGCGATGTATCTTCCCATTTTTCTCATCATTTCTCTCTTCCCCTTTTCATTGTTCGCCATAATACTATTTCATCAGCGTACGATATTGTCCATACTTTCTTCTTTCTCATGATACTTGGGTATATATATTTCAGCACAGTAGTCGTAACTTTAACTATCCCACAAGGGAGCAACACAAATAAACGTTGGTATTATTAGTGTCGTTGGGGTTGCCGAGTGGGCAAGACCCCTAGATGAGCGAGGCCTAGGGCGACTGGATTGCTCACCATCCCCAAAGGCCGCCCTTACCCACAAGATACAAAAAAAATGATCAAGGGACACTTCTTCTGTTTAAACTTATTAGAAAGTGCAACATTAAAATTCACCAAATGGTTTCTAATAAAAATTTGAATCTTGTAAGGTTTCCCTTTATAGTTTTGAAAAGATTAAAAAGTAAACGATGTTTCTAATGTTTTATTTAACAAAACAAATATTATTCACATGTATACAAAGTGGAAATTAAAAACATATCACATTGTCTTTCACCAAAGTTATTCTAAATAACAGAATAACAAAATAATCTCTTTTTCTATGTTTGTTATGATTTCGTCTTAATATGTTATTTATATACAGCAGACTTAATAAAAAAATAGCTAAAAAATACTGTTTATAAGGCACTGTGCAGTATGAAATTAATGTCTAAACTCTAAAACTAAGCTAGACATCATACAACATCTTTGATATAGTAGCTTTCCAAATATAATTCGAAAATTTCATAAAAATCATTAAAATATACGATTATTTGTACTACAAAAAATTGTTAATTATTCCGTTTACATCAACTGCATTAACTTATCGTCTTTTCGTCTTCCTTGCATGCCTTTAAGAACACGCCTCTTCCTCGGTTGGCTATATCCGAGAAGTTTTTTCTCCCAACAGAACATAATTTATTCGAGAATTGAACATTTCGTCGCCTAAAAATTATTTATAATGTGTTGTTTTGACTTCTAGTTTTTCTAGCCCCCGGATCCCCAATTATTGACAATATATGTTTTAAGTGTCATCGTCAAGTATGAACAGATGTAGCTTATAGGCATAATAAGTTTGTGTAAATACCATAATTTATAAATTTAAACGCTAATGCATTAGGAATTGTCTTAGAAATATACCTATATAGATATATATTTTCTTACTTAAGGAAACTGATACGTAGCAAAATGTTGATGCAAACAATGAAAATCTGAAAATATTAGTAAGATGATACCGCATTAGAATAATTAAAAGTGATATTTATACATACCTATAGCTTTCGATTTTCTTTAAATCTTTCACTTATTTTTTTATTACTTTCGAAAATAAGACGCACACTATAAAGTTGTAATGTAGGTACTTACTGTCTATATATGTATTTTGTACAGATCCAAAATCAGTGTAAATAATAGTTATTGCAGGTGTATATATATAGTCAACTCACCAATGTGTCGCTTTTTGGCCTTTTATGATATAGGTANTATTACACATTTAAAATGCAGGGACAAAGCGGTTGCGGCAGTACCTGCCGGGAGGCCGGTTTGTATTGTCTAATGACAAAAAAACTGTGAATGTTGTATGAAAAGACATTCTGTAGTATATTTAGTATGTTCAGGGGGTATCTTTTGAAGATTTCCCCTTTTCGATAATAATCTAAACAAAACAAAAATATATTTAGTATATCAGCATTGCCCCCGTGCGAAGCTGGGGCGGGTCACTAGTATAAAATAAATGATTTTGAGATTTCCCAAAAACAATGAAGTTTTTCTAAATTTTGTATGCTTTTCTAATATGTTGACTATAGAATGCTGTGTTTTTTCAATATTTTGTATTCGATCGCCTGGCACAAAGGGTGAAAGCAATTCTGCAGACTCAATTTTCGAAAAACTCCTGAAGGCCTCTCGTGCGAATAAGGACGAAATGTCGATTATAGTCAATACGACGCAGTTAAAAAAAGAAATCGACATATGTCGTTTCAGAAAATAGTAGGAAATAATTCTTAATTTTACTGTCATTTTTAATCAATTTTCAAATTATCTTTTTGAACTAGAAAATAGGCTTTAGACGAGCAAAATCTTGTTCTTTTCGGTAAATCAGCTCAATTTATATTTGATATGATGATGTGTGTTTATGAGACGTTTTTAAATTTTTTACAAAGAAGTTGTGAACTTTTTCTTCCAAAAATGAATACACTTATGTATAGCATTTCTTTCTATTGCGCAAATAATGTCAAGGGGGATATTCTTTTAAAAAATGGGACCTAAACCGCTAGTTTGTCTACACGGTTTTGTTCGTAGTATACGATTTCGTAAAGTTGTGTTTCCAAAATCTGTTTTTTGTATTATTTGAAAAACTCACCCTCTTCCAGGTAATTCCATTTCGTCTACGGACACACTATTTACGTAAAGATGATCGTTGCACCACAATAGACACAATGTTCTTGGTTCTAAAACGTTCATGTCATATTGCCAACTCAATTCCACTTTTTTTACATTCCCTCCCAAATCTGCAGGATGTGACACCACAATTGCATACGTGGTACCGTGCTCTAATTTTGTATCACCCTGTGGCGTTAAGTCCACATTTATAACCCCTTGGGGGGCAAATATTGATGCTCTTATAATCCCTTGTACCCAAGTTTCTGCATACGCTGGTTTCGCTAATTCCACAGCCACTCTATACATTCGATCTGAAAGTCATTTAAAACAAAACTTCCTTATGATATACATTTACTTTTGCATTATACACTGTGGAAACTTGTCACTAAGTTTAATTTAATATAAAGTATAATGAAATTTGAAAATTATCTTCTTGTATGTTGAACTTCCTATTTCCCATTGTATATTTGTATTACCTGCTATTAAAATATGAGATAATTTACTGATAGAAAAAATAACTATCGAAATGAAAATACATTTCTTGTATAGGTACCACGTTTATAAAAGGGACTAAAAAGTATAAAATAATTTCTTCTAGTTCAATGCAGATTGTTAACTTAATACAGATATAATAAGTTAAAGCNTTTTAGAAGTATTTTTTTAATTACTTATTAAATATTGTCAATCACAAATTTTCAGGATTATCTATATAAGCATAGGAAATTGAGTATCGCTAGGAGAAATTATTTTATATTTTAATTGGTTTTAAAAATGTGGTACATTAACAACTTATTTTGTCTTTTAATTATTATTTTATGATTTTTATTTTTGTGTGCTTCTAAAATTTTTCAACTGTCACCTAATTCTGAGATAAGTTCCAAGTTTATAATTTAACGGGAAGTTGTACTGAACAGACAGACAGACAAGAAAACAAATTAATAAAATTGTTATATCAACGTCCAATTTTGTTATGAATAAGTTGAAAAATATTCTATTTACATTAGTTAATATGTAGGTAGTCCGTTTGCTAAACTTATTAATGTTTATACCCTACTTACATACAATAGCCAATAATAGAGCTTTTTCGTACCTTTCTGGTGAGATGTCAGAATTATCAGAATCAAAAAATATTGTATTCAATGATATAACTAACTTGAGAAATATTTTTACAATTTACTTACGGCAGAAGGGAAATTCGCTGCCAGTCATTGTGAAGAATTTTGATCCTACCATGTCCATGAGTTGAGTTTGGGGAGAAACCTCATTTTCTAGCATAGGACTAGCATCTGCGTGATATCCCATTATGGCGCAATTCCCTCCGCCAGATTTACAACCGAAACATTTTCCTGCTACAAAGTGTTCGTAACTTGGACACTGTTGGGCTAAAATATAATTTCTAGTATTTCACAATTTCCACAGATTTTCTAGCGAAAATTCTTTGTTAAGAAGGTTATAGAGATAGAATTTAGACAAAATGCAGCTAACAAATTTTTTTTTATTGCCTATTAGCTTAAGTTCCCATGCGCCAAGAATCTTAACTAGAATTGTACAGAGGAGGGTTGAAAAAAGGGCGAAAGAAGTATTAGGGGATAATCAATTAGGGTTTAGAAGAAATAGACGAATGTCGGAGACTAGCTTTACGGGTGACAAAAGAGAAAACGATAGAAAAAGGAAAGAGTGCATACCTCATAGGATTTGTAGGTTTAGAAGAAGCTTAAATGGGACAAGATGTTAAGTATACTTAAAAATGTAGGGATGAGTTACAGAGATAGAAGAAATTAAAAGAAGTGGCTGATTTTAGGTATCACGGATGTCAGATAAGTCAGGATGGAAGGAGTAGTAGGGATATAAAGCAGAGGATAGCCCAGCGTCGAGTCGCCTTCAATAAAAAGAAGTCATTTCTATGCTCGCGAATTGTTAATTTAGAAATTCAAAAAAGATTGTTAAAGGTGGGTCTGAAGCGCGGCGCTTTACGGGTGCTAAACATGTATGGTGGGCGCTGCGGAAAAGAAAAGGTTTTAAGTGTTCCAAATGTAGTGTTACTGGCGAATGATGAGGATACCATGGATAGAGAAGGTTAGAAACGAAGAGATATTACAAAAATAAGGAGAAAAGAGGACTCTATGTAAGTCAATAAGACAGGCGAGATAGGTTGGTAAGACACCTTCTCAGGCATGAAGGTCTAGTCAGAGACATATTAGACGCAGAAGCGGGAATTATGAGGGGTAGAGGTAGACCTAGATTAGATTACTGTTCGCAAATTATTGTGGATGTGGGTTGTTTTAGTTTTGGGGAAATGCGAAGATTAGCTCTGGATAAAAAAAGGTGGAGGTGCGTGTCCAACCAGTCTTGGGACTGACGACCTTATAATGATGATCGTTTATTGCTTGTTGACAGATTTTAGAATATTAAATTTTGTATACATCATGTAGAGAGACTTACCTACGTACTGGCATTGACTGTTTATACTATCGGTAAACAGTTTCAAAGCCCTTATATGATTACAAGCCACAAGAACTCTTGATGCTTCCTCAAGTCCTTCTCTGCAATAAAGGAATAAATGTAGTGAACAAAACATTACTTTAGTCATAAAAAAAAACAGCAGCTTACTTTATAAGTGTAAGGGGTATCAAAGGTGTTTGCGTTATTTCACAGCCAGGTTGTTCTTTACCATTATTTGGATAGAAATCCAGATGACCACATGGCTCCGACATACCATATCCTTTAATACATTCAATGGTCATGAAACTGGATACAAAAAATAGGTAATTCATGTTTATATTTAATAGCAATTCGAAAATAGTATTTCTGTAAGTCGTAAGTACATGTATTATACATCAAATCAATGGCTTTAGCATTTAATGTTTATTAAAAAACAAAGAGTGTGTGCGGATTGGTCATACGTCTCACGCGTAGATGAATAAAACTCGGTCTATAATAAGATATGCATATTTGCATATGTTCGTGTTTATGCGCGAAAAAGTTTGAGTTCTTGCAGACGAGCATTTCATGAATGTCATGTATATATGCCTTTAATATTCATAATCGATTTCCACCCTTCTTACTTATTGATGGATAAAATAAAGTGACAAAATTGTCTCATATGTCGATCACGGTCGGTTCTAATTATACTTGGGACGATCAAAATTAGCAAAGTTAATTAAAAAAATCGGTTGTCTGTAAAGTCGGTTTACTGACGATAGTTGAACGTGACAACGTCATAAGAAAATACTGATGGAATGGTTTCATTTTTCAAAAGAAAATTTTAATTTTATTTGTTTGATAGATATTTTGTATGGATATAGAGAAAGAGGTAAATGTATTATTGTATAGCAGCTGTCCACGCGGACGCATCGCTCAGTCAAGTAGGAGAGAGACAGATGTCGAACGCTGCCGAACGCGGAGGCCAATTGTGCCTCTTTGTCGCTCGTTCCGCGCTCTCGCTTGCATTTCAAGCCTTAAATGGAACGCCTCAGAGCGAGGTAACGCCGCATGAGTCATGTTTTTTCGTGCGTGCAGCCGGCTCCATCGAATTATAAGACGTTGTCACGTCAAAATTAAAATTAAATTATATATGAGAATGGACGTATCTTCTTTCTTATTTCCACTTGGGACTGTAGTTATTTGCTGCGTTTTGAACACACTCTTGTTAAGTTACGAAATGCTTTATGTGTAGTACAGACAAAGTGAAAAGAGATAACTTAGTAATAGAAAGCGGCGCAGCGGTTAGAAGTTGCTTAGTAAAGAGAAAAGAAAAGAAATCAGGGTCGGCTTTATAATTGCCTAGTTGGAATTTATATCTTTAAACAAGCGTCTTTGCTTTCATAAATTTCTGAGAATGTTGAACTTTCTTTAAAGTCTATTGCCGGCAACATGTTCAAATTCTGCTTGTCATCATCCCTTTCTGTTACACATTAATCAGTGTAATGCTATTCCTTTTTCTTTATTAGTGTCCGCTGCAATTCCTACCTGACATCTCTTTTCTACGTTTACGATATTCCTTACCGCGTCTGTCGTGAGTAAAAATAGGCCTTCTATCAGGAACCTCTCTAGTTTATTTGGTAAGTTGAAAAAAGAATGTAAATGTGACAGTCTTGTTGCGGACCATGTCAATTTTGAACGTCCTAACTATAGCTAATTATTTAATATTTAGAGTTTACTTACCAAATAGTATGATGCTCCTTCCATCCGTATGAATTACGTCAACCATTTCAGCATCTGATGAATCTAATCGAACATGAGCTGGCATCCCCTGTACGTTATAAAAATCAAGCTTATAATTTTTAAGTATACAGGGTGTCTCACGGTGACCACCTATTAGAATATTTCGGAAACTACTTCGATTCGAATTTTGAGTAGCGTTATTGGGTGTAATCTCCTAAATTAAAATAACGGCATCTATGTGGTACTTTCGTTTATACCGGAAGTTAATACCAACTTCGTTATTTTAAATGGAGCATCCTGTATATTACGACGGTTTTGAATTCTACTTATGATTTTAGGTAGACTTTTATAATGCTTCTCTACTTCTAAAATTTACAGAAGTAGTTTCCGAAATATTCTAATGGGTGGTCACCGTGAGACACCATGTACATTTGATAAATATTATACATATATTTATATACAAGGTGCTAAATAGCTAAAAAAGGTCTTAGCCTATGTATGTAGTACTTAAAAAACAAAATTTTAATATTTAAGTTTCGTAACTGACAAATTCTAAAGCCAGTATGACAACTAACTGTTAAAAGTATTATTTAAAAAAAATGAAATATTTCTTCAGTTGGATTGTGTTACCCACGAGAATGAACAGTAATGCCAATATAAAAACTTCGAAATACTAAAAAAGTCATGATTCAAATTTTATGGATAGCCTTTACTTTACTAATGTAGTTCTCCATTTACAGGACCTCTTGTATGTTTTTTGGTAAACTATACCATATCAAAATGTTTACTCACTTGAAAATATGGTTCGGCAGGGTCCAGTCCTGTTATTCGTCCCAAACCAGCGATCCTTGATCCTGCATATCCTGCAGTATGCGCTCCTAGGGAATGTCCTATTATATGAACGTTACCCGCATTTAGACTGTACGTTTTCTGTAAAATTTTGATATTACAAATTTAATGAATTAGAACAAAAAGATTTAACGAGGGAGCGATATATAGGATGACAGGAAATTGCTCGTATTCTCTTCGGGAATAGAAACTATCACTAGTTTGGAATGATTTAACCTCTTGGAGTTTGGAAATGCGCCATTTTCGAGAAAATCTACTTCAGTTTTCTTGTTACAAAAATCCGAATTTTGTGACTTAAAAATGTAAAAAACAAATTTGGCCTGAATTTTTCCATGATCAGATACCTTACTAATTGGTCAACCTTTCTAAAGTTAAAATTCACGAAAATTACTGTTGTTGTGTATTAAAACATGTGTTGCATGTTTTTTATGATAATAACACCTCTGTGAAGAAGAACAGGAAGGTTGACCAAGTTATTAAATCATAGAAAAATACAGGCTAAAAAATGATAATAATTTTAACTTCCAAACTTTGGAAAATTGAACTAGATTTTCTCAAAAATGGAGCATTTCCCAAGTAATAGAGGTTAAATTAGTGTAAAAAATGTATAAATTTAATGTCAAAAATTGTTCACGTGAATTATAATACGTTTAACGTGCTGAGAACATTAATTTCGATTTGGTAATTTTTTGAATTGTTACAATAACATTTTTGATGGAGAAGGGGTCGCTAGTCAATCTTTAATCAGTGCTGCTGAAAGCTAGCATTTAAATAAAGAAAACGAGAGAGAAAAATAAAAGAGAAAGAGAAAACAGACTCAGTTACTAATGCATGACAAATTGCAATGCAGTTTTTTATATAGGTACGTTGTGAAGTCTTTATTTACAACATACGTTAAATAATTTTAAAAATAAAATTTTCATAAAAATATTATTACCACATATGTGAAATCACTTCAATCAATACCAGATTTCAGGAATTTTTTACTCGCTACTGAGGTTAGATGTTACACATCATTAGTCACTACTGTAAGACCTGTTTTTTTAATACCTATTGGTTATAAGGTATTGCGAACACCAAGAACATGATTTAAGATTTAGAACCTTTTAGTAACATGTCCAATTTCTGTTATTATTTAATTATTTAAATAGAAGACCTAATCTTACAAATTGAATCACCTACTAGTGTATGATTTATGATCAACAAGGAGAAGTTTTATAATATACCAGTACTCAATAATCTAAAAATATAGAGCTTTGATTATGTTAGGTAATTAGCCACGTTACCTCCTGAATAACACATTTTTTTGTACTTTTATAATTCTTGTTTAATTTACATCAAAAATATGTCACAAGCATTTATTAAGGAAAATACTTACTATTAAGTGATTTATAAAATGCGCCACTTCTAGTCCCACAAGTCTTGTATTTGCAGTAGCTTGTGTATAAAGAGGGAGACTACCACCAGCCCAGTCTACTACAAACACGTTCATGTCATTATTTTTGAGCAGCTCGTCCTTCATTTCACCAACCTGAAAAAAATTAACCCTTGAATTTTTGGTTTCTAGTAATTAAATAGGCACTAGAATGTAAATTTTCAAATGTGATAGATTTTACATAAAACCACATCACGTAGCACACAAAATTTGTATCAAGGTTACTTTTGCTCCTTTTCAAACGACTTCAAAAAAAGCAGCTTCTTAATTATTACTATATTTTCACTTTGTTGTGTATGTTTCGCGATTTCTTCGTCAATTGTGAAACAGAGTTTAGTGATTCTTTTTTATGTCTCAAGGGTGGTCAAGTTTAAATTTGAGAAAGATATTTTATCTGTAAGGGTGGAAAATTGGAGTATATGATAAACTACTTGAAGAGATTAGACAACTCGTCATCTCCGTCTGGTGTTTTTATTATATAGGCAGCATCCCAAGTGTAGACCTGTTTGACTTTGTTCATTTTTTAGTTAAAGTGTACACATGTAAGCAAAGTATTGATGTATGTTTTGATCATCAGTATCTTTAAATTATAAAACTAGCTGACACCCGACTCTTTCACGAGACATTGTGATTTTTTATTATTGCTATAAATTTTTGTTTTAATAAGGTGGTCAAGACAATGAAAATTTATTTATGCATATTTAAAATATATTTACCCAATTTGATAAAGACGTATCGATGAATCCATGAATGATAAATTTTGTCTTCTTTTGAGCTTCAAAATTAGATTTCTGTATAGTGTCATCATCACTAGCTCGCAGTTCTTGTCCCTAAAATATGAAACGTTATACAGTAAAAATATGTAGTACAGCAACTTAGTAACAATTATTTGATTTGATATAAAACAACGATCCAAATTGTTTTGCTACATAAGGTAAATTATCGTAATAGCTCAAATAACAATATTAGAAAGCGATATGAAGGAAGATAAGTTGACAGAATCTGTATGTATCTGCTAAAATATGTTAACTAGTAATAAATTATTAACACGAAATTAATTAATCGCTTAACATCACACTTTTTTACTAATTACTAATTTCCAAGCTTTTTGATAACAATTTGTATTAATTTTTTTTAGTTTGAAGTTTATCATTAAAAGTACGTACAATCTTGAACAAATATGCGATTAGTGTAAAAAAAAACATATATAAAAGATTTTCCCTGTTTGATTTATATAAACCTTTAGGCAAGAGACTCTAGAGATATCTTTTTTTCTTCCTCTGTGTTGTTATTTAATGATTGAACAGCATTACAATTGATTTTAAATAGTAGATACCATTTGATCAAACAAAGTTTAAGGAGACATTAGATTGTTATGAGTTTTGTTTTGAAATAAAACAGATTCAGTTTAGTGAAAACTCTTGATGTTTCCCTGTTTAAATAATAAGCACTAATAGATGTTGAAAGCGATAATCTACCGAATGCTTATAGAGTATTGTATAAGTAGTAAAATAAAGTTCTGTAAAACTTAAAAAACAAAATTCAGTTTTTAAAGATCGGAATTTGAGAAGTCCCATTTTGAGAGTTTGAATTTTCCAAACTACTAACAGATTTGAGTGTTAAGTTTGAACTAAGATCAAACGAATAAAGTGTGGGGCTGAGTTTTAATCAAGATCTCAGAAACGTCGATTTTCATTCTGACTTTCATTTTTGGCTCTGACAGGAAAGGTCCCTTTTCACAAATTACCTTACAACTACATAACAAATACTTATACAATTAACTAATAAATACTTCATGACAAAGTAAATACAATTTGACTGCTAATTATTTTTTATAAATGAAGCTGGATTATTGAGAAAACAATGAGTGCTGAGAAATTATCTTAATTGTAAAGTAATTTTAAAATCAATTTGATTAAATGAAGTTGAAGTTGACTGCTAGTAGCTTAGCGTATTGTAACAAATGCTCATTTGATGTTTAATGCATTTAAGATATGGTGTAGCACGAGAAATTTAAAGTCAGTAACCGGGAGACTTCAATGAGAGGTCAAGAACGAAACCTTCAGTAAAGTTGCATGGTGTTTATAAACATCTATGTTTACGTAGTATCAGCCGAATAAATAAATTATTATTGTTATATAAAACGTTTGTAATGAGTGAAAAAAAATTGTAAGTAAGGAAATAATCCAATAGTAAACAAGTTATTGAAATGATTAGAAATTTACCATTATTATGTCTCAGAATCGCGAACTGTGAAAATAAATGTCTCAGGCATGAAGATAATTTTTAAATTTGGAGCATTTAAATTTAATCCGTAATTGCCTTACCATTTTCCATATTATATGAATAAAATATTCAATATAATTGTTGGCAGTAGTTTTTACAAAATAAACAATTTTCAGCCTATTTTGGCTCAATTTACCTATTCGTTTTTTAAGAATCGTATATTATCATATAGCCTTGTTGTAGGAGGTGAAATGTCGGTTGTGCTTTTATAATCAGTAAATGTTTATAACCTAATCTTGGCTCTGATTTCGTGACTGAAAATTCAGATACTTTTAGTAAGTATATAGATGTCTAAATCTAGAGTACAACCAATTTCTCAACAGTGGGCATGTAGTTAACAAACCCCCTGTATACTGTTTACTGTAAATTGGTACAAACGAAAAATATGCATATATAATGAATTTCATAGATGCTATTTACAAATTTTCTTTGGTAAATAAACTGTACCTTTTGGGATCAATGAAGTGTAAAGTTAGATTGGAAAATAAAAAAGTTGGGAATAAAACGTGCGTGATGGCCAGTAAGTAACCAGTGACGTAACAGGTATTGACCATAGCGAATGCAACGTGACATGTATAATATTCCTATACAACTTCGAGCAGAAAAAGTAGTTAAAAGTTCATAATTTTTAAAGTAGCTTTTTAAACCAAAGAGATTGATTAAGTTTCTTTAATTATGCTTACAGTATTTGAACAGCACAGCTAACAAAATAATATTTAGCGCAACGAAATGTACCTATTTGATACGCACGCAAGTAATGAGACGGTGGTCAAAATTATGCCAATAAATATTGCAATTTTTTACATGGAACCCACCAAAGAAAATAAGAAAATCGATACTTTTCTATTAAAAGACTCTTCATAGATTTATATGTCATAGTAGCGGATCTATGGCGGAGGGGGTTCGGGTCCAACCCCTCCCTATACGTTCAGAAAACCCTAAATTTAACTTTCATTTATAGATCTACTGCTAGAATTAATCACTTCTTGTAGTAATATATCTTGTTTGAAGTCATCATTTCAAAATTATCACGAAAATAACGAATGTTAGTCGATGAACATTAGGGGATTCGAAGAATTGATAGAAATTTTTGTGAGTACCTTCCTTCCTAAAATCCTGCATCCAACCCTGATAGTATGTCATTAAATATGAAACGCTCTACTAGCAGCGATAATACTACTTTATTTAATTAACACATTCTTCACCTTTGGGTCAATGGCTTGTTACACGAAAGAAACTGATAACCATACTGAAACTTATTATTGTACCGCATTTCACTTTATTGCAAATATGTTATTTATTATTCCAAATTTAAGAAAAAAATATTCCAAATAACTAATATAAGGAAATTTCTCATTGTTGATAAAGTTTGATAGTTTGTTTTTAAAATAACTTATCAACGCGACAAAACACACAAGAAAAAACATATACAAACACTATATTCTAACACACGATTACAATAAAAAAAACAGGGAAAGACGAATTAAAAGACAAACAAAACATGAAAAAAAGCTGAATAAAAAATAATGATTTGGAAAATCGTATACGTATGTATATTGAAGCAAATGCACGGTTGAAACTGGTGGGTGGAATATCAGAGCCAAATAGTGTTAAATAAAATAAAATTCGAAGTAAAAACACAAGATGGGGGGAACTCTCCCTCCCCTGCCGACAATTTATACAAACCCCAGTACCAAGGAAAGGGTTGGCAAGAAGAGGGGTTGATAGTGGGGTGGTAAGAGAAGAGCGAAAATTAATGATAACAGAAAGTGACAGGGCATGCTTGAAAAAATAGGATTAGAAAAAGAAAGATGATTTTACGTTATGAATTAAAGAAAAAAAATCTTGAAAAAAAAAGGGAAAATATAGTGAGACAATTAATAAATTTTATATAGAAAAGAAAATAAAGGACCAGAACGTAAGAGGGAAATTACAGCCGAATAAGTTTGAAAAAGAAAAATGTAGAAAAAGTAATTGATTAAAATTGAAAGTTGAAGCTGTTTGTTAGGTAAGTTCGGTTGTAGCTAGGGTGGTTTAGGTAGTCGCACAGGTAATTACGGAGTAATGACGTCAGGGAAAAATCAGCAGCAAGTTGTTATTCTTCCGAGAACGATGATCCGCGTTGATATTTACAGAATAAATTCTGTAAATAATGTGCATCATATCATTGTCAACAAAAAGCAGGAAAATTTTAAATAATTTTTACAGGGAACCTTGAATTTTTGGTGTTTTTTTTTATAACTTGCAAAGCCTTCAACTTTAAAATTACCTGGTTGGGATTATTTCTAGTAAAGAGTATAAATCTTGTATTTATCACAGATCTTGGAAGGGGAAAGACGTTTATGGGCCGATGAATAATATGATACCAACTCCTGGTAATATTTAAACAACCCAATTCTTCATAACACCTCTCTTCGTTTACAACTGGAAGAAGAAAATCCTTTAAATACATTTCTTACAATAAGGATAAACATATTAAACATTAAATAATTATGTCCATGAAATCTCCTGTTTATAAATAATAGAATTGCAAATGAATAATATTTTGGAAAATAAACTGTACTGTAGACTACAGGACGTAGCACTTTTATTTCAAATGCTTGACAATGTTTTACAAAGGTATCTACAATCTACCTGAAAATTAAGGTGTTTCTGTAATGGGTTGCAAGCTTACAGGAGCTGATAGGGTACTATAAAACAAGAAAATTAAGTATATATTTGATCCGCCGATTTTGAGTCAGTCCGGCCCTGGTAGGATCACGTAGGTAAACTTGTTAGATTAGATTAAGTGTGATTGACGATGTTTGTGTTACAACCAAGAGTATTAGACTTTTATGCACGTGGTTGGTCGAAAACATTGACAGTACGTCAGTGTGCAAATGTTATAGGTCAGTGCAGATAATATTATTACGTTGACCAATGAGTGAGTTTTTGTTTCTATGGACAAACAGTTTCCTAGACGCTGGACTGGATGTACGGGTCCTGCACCTTAGTCGACGCGTAGTTCTGATCTAAATCCGCTCGACTTTTTTGTATGGGGTCGCAAGAAACAGTGCATGTGTCATTATTCATTACATTTTTTTGTCCCTTGACAATGCTGCATTATTTATCATGCGATTCCCTGCTGTATCTAGTTAACACCTTCCAATGCTTGCTACTTATTTCAGGCATAAAACAAAGGTACTTATTGTTAAGCTCTACCGAGCGGCATGGTCTAGAAATCTAGACAATTCCTTAGCATTCGGGAGGACGCCGGTTCCATTCCGGGTCCGTCTGCCTTGGTCCAAGTTTTTCTATGGTTTTCTTGGATCACTCAGGCAAATATTGGGGTAGTAATATTCCTCAGATAATCTTTCATTCTCTTCTGTCTTCATTTCGTCCGTCTCATCTTTCTCACCCGAACCACCTTCTACCCATTCTCACGATTCCTGAAAAGAAGCTGAAGAGCGCTTTTCGCCCTACCTTCCGGCGTAGTCCGGAGGGATTGCCCGTCCACCAACATAAGTGGCTGGTGGGAATGAAACACCCAAAAGGTTTTTTTGTTAAGCTCTTAATTAGACGTGGGTCACGATTTCGATCACATTTGCTCCCATTATCATTGGCAGTATCGAAAAATTACCGATCAAACTTCGATTTATAGAGACTGTCTTTTGCGTGCTGATGATAAAATCGAAAACGCAATCCACGTCGTGCGGTAGTTCCAATAAATTACTGATTAAGAACATAAACTGTTCTTATATATTTAATTAGGTTGTGATTTTATGAAGCTGTTTTGAACACCGATTTCATGAACATTGTCTGTAACAGGTTTGACTACGTATCTGTTAGAGGAAATTTAAACTTACACAACCAAGGAATATTAATTTCCAACCTTGTCGGTTTGTCCCAGTTCAAATTAAAAATTCCGGCAGATGCGATGCTCGCAGAGAGAACTAGAACTTGTGTGACCAAAAATTGGCTATGTTTCATTCTCCAAATGAACATGAACTAACGCACTATGTAATTATCTGACAGTCAGAACACTTAAACGACGACTGCAGATTATACCAATGAACAGATCACTTGCAGGCAGATACGTATAGCAGCATCCATAATAATTGCGCCTCTTTGAGCTTGAGTTCTGAAACAAAGAAATAATCATGGAAATTCTGGGTACACGGTATTACATAATTTTTTATGGTAGGTTAAGCGTAACTAATATGTTTACCATTTGGAAGGAAATTAGTTTTGGAATTAATAAGTGTAAGTCGTTTTGAATTCTAATCAGATAATTGAATTGGTGTAAATTCCATCGGAAATACGTTAATGACCTTCTAGAGGTACGTAAATTCCGTCCGATATATACAGTAAAAGCTCTTTATTCGCTGGGTATACGTTCCATAAAAATACCGTGAATACAGAAACTGTGGATATGGAATGGTAATTAGTTTGGAATCGTAGGGGATACGTTCTAAGGTTCCAAAATAAAACCAATATGTATCAGAATAAAATAAATTTATCGAGAAATTCGCAATTAAAATTAATCGTTATAATCAGCTTTTGACAAGGGTTTAAAAAAATTAGTGATTTGTTCTTGTTGTCAATTTTGAATTAGTCCACTCTGTTACATCTTTTATAAAAGTCGCCTCGGCACGTATCAACGGTACATACTCAAAAGATGCTGATACATTAAGGGGATTTAGTAGTACCCGTGACGTAAAGTAAAAACATGCTTATCGGTTCTAGATATCATGAGTTTAATGTTCGGAACAGAGGTTTGAAATTTTCTAGTAAGATAGATAAAGCTTTGTTCTAAAGCCTGTCGAAGTTCGTTATTTATTTTTTTAATCTCTATTGAAAATTCGTGTCCTACAAGAAGCATCAACTTTAAGTACATGTAAAAGCTTTTAATGACCATATTACTGAAAACCAAAAACGTACTGAGTAAATGTGAACCTTTCTTCGTTACCATTACAGGGTTTACATTTAGGCAATTGACATTAAATATAGTTAAAATACTTTAATTATAGTTACTGTTAGAGATGTGGACTTTTTAATTGCAAAAATGCCTGTCGAAAAGTTTTCAATATTTTTGACGTAGAAGTTATTTATTCAGATTTTTATTTCCTTTTTGTCAGTATTTCTGTATGCTTCTGTATAATCGCTTAGTATTTATTGCCTATTCTGTAATTTAATCTTTAATTAAATAAAAAATAAAAATAGCTGTCTCTTTCTGAAAGTTTATATGTTTTTCTTTTATATGAATAACAAGGTTGTTGCTTAAATTAAATAATATGTAACAATAAGGCTATTACAATTTTGTTTATTCGACCCTAACAAAGTAACAGTCAATGTTATGTTTTTTGCTATTTTTTCCTTCAATTCTAAAGGTAGCGGTTTAAAACTGTGTTATTAAAAAAATGACCATGTAGTCAATTGCAATTTAAGTTAATTTGGCATGAATTATATGAACATATGCGAGCGACCAATATTGCAAATGTGCACTTTCTGAAGTAGCATTTTCAAGGATTTACAGTTGCGCTGCTCTTAACCTCCATTCAAGACACCATACTTATCTTCATTAAATTGTAAGGTATATTTGTATTTTACCGTTTTCATTAACACATATTACATGTATGATTGCTACCGTTACTGCTCTAATTTTTAGTATTAATTGTGAGAGTCCAAATTTGTCATTCTGCTCTTTACCTATCTGCTTTTATTGAATTTACTTGTAACAAATAAACGAAATGTAGTAGCGCTACATGAATAAGGACTTCTATTCATATTAGCAAATCGGTCACATGAGTTAGTATATGAGTTTAATGTGGCTGTGGCCAGAGATGTGGTTTATTTGAAGTACTTCCATTTAAAATGCAAATGCAAAATAAAAAATACCTATTTTTATCCTGCATTTAAATACTTTTTTGAGAAAAGCATTTTGTATTTTATTTAAAATACTTTTCCAAACGTATTTGTAAAATTCAAAATACGTTTTTGCCGTTAAAAGTTTTGCTAGTACCACCGATAAAACATTATATAAAATGATGAATGAAAGTTGCTTACATTGGCAAATTGATATCTATCTGCACCTTCCAAATCACCACTTATCGTATCTTTAGTAAGAAACTAGGAAATTATATGAATTACGACAAAACAGCCCGCAAAACAATATTAAATTGATATACGCCAGCTGTGTAAAACTGAAAACTACAAGATATTGTAATAATAATCCAAAATTCTTAGAAAACGATTCCAAAAACTTCATTTATTAGACTATTTTTTCGAAAAAAGTATTTTGAATTAGCATTTAAAATACCAAATATAAATAAAAAAATAACAAATCAAAAAAGTATTTGCATTTTGTATTTAAATACTTTTAAAAAACCATTTTGCATATCTCTGGCAGCGAACACCCGGTCATTTGATTTTTTCGTTATCATGTGTGTTAAAATAAATACTGTTTCAATTATCCAACAAAATAAACAATATTCAGTCTTTATCTAATCGTTCTAATTTCAACTAAACGAACATTTCTTTCGTAGTCAGCTTAGTCACCGAAAGCGGCATGGTTTAGCGGTATAGATAACCCGCTCTGGCGAAAGTTTTCTTTTGTTGGGCCAGTAGTTTAAACTTCTATCACGATTACTTGGAATAAGACCTCAAAAAAGAAACAAAGTCGCTTAGTCTACAAGTACCTTTATATAACTCAATTTTAGACTACAAGCAAGTAAAACATTCACTTTACCTTTTTCTGACGATAGAATTTAGTATTTACTTTCATAAATCCATTCTCTAAATCTAAATAATCCTTTGATGCTTATCAATTAATAGTATCTTCATTACCATGCGAAGTAATAATGCAGTACGCCCTTCTATTCAATTATTAGAAGTAGTTGTAATTAACTAACAGCAAATTGTATTTTTCCTTTATTCATAAATACACACAATATAAAAGCAGTATAAATAAAAAATATTGATTTAATCTGCTTTTATAGTTTAAGCTATAACAGTATTGATTACTAAAAAGGGGGTATTTTCAGTTTCATAGTGTGGCGAAAGAACTTTTATTGTTTTTTTTGTGTAAATATTTTGTACATATATTTCTCCTAATTTTATTTCCGTCATAATGCATAATATTTCTTCAATGTAGAGTACGACTTCTTATCTTTTGCATGCCTTTGTTTCCATTCTGTTTCTATTCTATTGTCCCTAATCACCTTTACCTAGAAATCTAACTGCAACCGTTTCTGCATGCACCTTGTACTAATAGCTGGCTTTTCCCTTAATTACCTTACCTAAAATTCTATACTGTTCAACTTCGTCAATTCTTCGTATTTCTGTAAGCTCGTGTCTTCAACCCCTATTGCCAGTCTTTGTCTATCTTGAGTATTCTATCTCTTTTTACTAACATTTTCCAACTATAAATACTCCTAACATCCCTATCAGAAATTAATTCATCTGTGTCTCTACATTCAACCGTCTCGTTAGTAAGTCTCTTTTCCTGTTATAAATTGTTATTATTGTCTTTGCTATTGTTATTGTTATTGCTATTGTTATTATTATTGTTGTTGTTATTTCTTTGTGTGTTTTGGCTGTTGTGTTTTATTTTTACCATCTGTTTGTTTTGTTGTTTAATTTGTTGTTGGCAGAAAATTTTGGTTAATTGTTTAAATAGTGTTTTTCTTTAATTATTTTTATTAATAATTGTACTAAACACACTAAAGTAGTAAAAAAATGAATACATTAGGTATTATAAGTGTATTGGTTTGAGGTTTCATTTTAAATAATTTAAGGTACCGTTGCATAGCTTTCTGTTTTACATTTAACTTTGGTTTCTTTAAAAGAGTAGCTATAATTAATTTTACAACTGGACAGTAGAAAGAAATCTAAGCAAAAATTAACTGGAGCCTTGAAAGTTTTTTTAACGAATTAAAAAAATGATCCATCTTTAAATTTGTTAACAGACGTTTCTGCTCTATTATTTTTTTGCTCATTATGACACAAATATTGAAATAATGAAAGGCGAAAGAGTAACTTTCTTCGTATGTAGAATGAAAGAAAACAGTCACTTTTCTAATGTCAACTAGCCGAAAAACTATCTAATGCTTTAACTCACGTAGGATGTTATTCTACAATATACATTCTATAATTTATTGCTCATTTTTGATCTAATAAAATTAATTGTAATATTGGCCAGAGCGTTACAATTAGAATTACGACAATTGGCGGTACCTACAGGGTGTAACCTTGTAAATTTTGAAACTTTTTTGTAAGTATAAGGTACATTTGTAGATTTAGAAAAAGCTTTTGACACTGTTAAGTGGGACAAGATGTTAAAAATACTTAACAATGTAGGGATGAGTTACAAAGATAGAAAAGTGATACTTAGTTTGTATAAAGAGCAACAGGCAGTTATAGAGCCAGGGTTCCAACGTAAAGAAGTAAATATTAGGATAGGAGTCAGACAGAAATGCACAGGGTCACCTCTACTTTTTAATCTATACATCGAAGACGCGATCAAAGACAGTCATTAAAGACAATTGTAGGGATATATATACAGGGGCAAAAGATTAGTATGCTTAGATTTGCAGATGATATAGCAATATTAGCATCTATCAAGGAGTTAGAGATAGCTTTAAATAAAATGGAAGCGGTACTGACAAAACAGTACTGTATGAAAATAAAAGTAAAATATTGGTATGCCAGGGAAGAAACCGTAGGAAAAGGGCGAAAATAAAGATAAGAGGCGAAAAATTAGAAGAAGTGGCTGATTTTAGATATCTAGGAGGTCAGATAAGTCAGAACGGAAGGAGTAGTAGGATATAAAGCATACCGTAGGGTCCAGTCGCATTCAATAAAAAGAAGTCACTTCTTTGCTCCCGAACGGTTAATTTAGAAATTCGATAAAGATTGTTAAAGTTGTATGTTTTGAGCGCGGCGCAGTACGGATGCGAAACATGGACAGTGGGCGGCACGGAAAAGTTTAGAATGAATGATGAGGGTAATGTGGATAGAAAAGGTTAGAAATGAAGAGGTATTAGAAAGAATAGGAGAACAGAGGACTCTATGGAAGTTAATAAGAAATAGGGGAGATAGGTTGGTAGGACACCGTCTCAGGCATGAAGGTCTAGTCAGAGACATATTAGAGGCAGAAACAGGAGTTAGGAGGGGTAGAGGTAGACGTAGATTAGATTACTGTTCGCAAATAGTTAAGGATGTGGG